AGAAAGCGTTTCCCCTTGGGCAATTCATTTTAATGTTTCAGCTTTTTTTAGAATATTCATCTGGAAGATCTATTCAGCTCCCTAAATACTCATGGTCTGATGAGGGCTGCAATGGCTTTATTCCCCAGCAGCACACCCCAGGGAAGGAATGCCCGTCCTCTGAGGTCCTCAGCAGCTAAACCCGCACAGAAAGGCTTGAATGCTTCCTGCAGAGAAGAATGAGCAAACCACAAACCTCAAAGGAGCCCTGCACTGAGTTCAAGGTTGTCCCCCCAAAAGTTGGTCCATGCACAGCATGGCCGTAGGGCCCTAAAGCCACTGAGAATGTCCTTGTAAGACACACAGAAGGGCATCCAGAGACACAGGAGAGGGCCGCACGAAGGCAAAAGCAGAGATTGGAATGATGAGTCTCTAAGCCCAGGAGCACCAAGGAGCTCCAAGGATCACCAGCAGCCACCAGAAGCCAGGAGAAAGATCTGGAATCGATTCATCCCGAGAGCACCCAGGGGAAGCAACCCTCCCAACACCTTGATCTCAGACTATGAGAGAAGAAATATTTGCTGTTTGAAGCCACCCTGTTTGTGGTGCTCTCTGATGAAAGCCACAGGAAACGAATCTGAGCCCCAGGAACCTGAGGTGGTCCGGACCCACACTACCAGCCCCACACTTCACTGCACATCCCGGATCCAGCGTTTGCCACACTGTTCATTCACAGGGCCCTACTAGATAGCAGCCCCTCGTCAGACTGTCAGCAACGCCTGGTGGCCCACAGAGAAGGCTGCTGGGTCAGGCTGAGCTGGGTCCGTGAGACTTTGCTTCCCTTCAGGAAAAGAACAGTTCTTGAAGGGCAGTTTCTGAGTAGGATAGCACAATCCGACCTATGTTTTAGGGAAATGTTGCATCGAAAAAAAAGGCTGGTGGTTTAGGAATAGGGTCAGGACCACAGCAGGTGCACAGGGTCAAATCCAGGGCCTGAGCGTTGGGGAGAAAGGCAGGGGAGGTGGGGCACCCCTCCCGGTCCCCTCGGCAGCCAGGGCAGCCCCTGTCCACCCACTTACCTCTTCTGCACGTTCCTGGTAGATCTGGCCACACTCAGGCACAGTCTGCAGGGCCAGGAAAAGAGCCATGCGGAGACAAGGAGTAAAGGGCTGCCGGCGTGTTTAAAGGAGCGTGCCGTGCTTTCACACGGATTTTATTTACCCTCAAGTGACAAGACATATCATTGACATTCTGTTGAGGATAGGTGGCAGATAAAAAGGCAAAAACAGAGATTAGGACTTCTTTAGGTGAAATTCTCATGTGTAAATAGAGTCCCCTCAAAACATGGAGATTTTAAGAAAACTGTTATAAACACGGATCTGTGATAGGAACCACCAGGCTTTCTCCCACCTCCCCAGGAAGTCCTTAGAGACTTCAGATTGAGGATATAACAATACATGAATACTATTTTCCTCGGTTAATTTTTTCCATTTTGTTGGTGTTTTGTGACTGTGTTAAAGAGTGGCAAATTAAGCAGATATTAGATCATCTGGAAAGTAAACCAGTTGACATGAGGCTGCGGTCTCTGTCTCATAGAAAAATAGGTACATAGGTATATAAAGTTTATACATATTTATATGCCAGAATTCATTTTTCTTATGGTCTCTATCATTAATGTTCCTTCTTGATGAGAAAGCAATGATTTGGGGGTAATAATAACCTGGAGGGCACCATGGGACAGCGTGGCACTTAGGCAGCTCTTGCTCAGTGGAGGAGTAGACCTGAAGGTGACTCACAGAGGTCAGCACCAACCAAGCCGTGGCAGTGTCTGGGCAACCAGACCCCCCTGGGCACCTAGGAGCTCGGCCTGCCCCACAGCGCTCGCACCGATGCCAGCGCACCTCTGACGTGGCTTGCTGTGCCGTGCTGGCATCCAGGTAGGGGCCACCTGACTACCCTCATATAGAGTGTGCACGCCTATGTGAATGTCTGCACTCACCAGGTACCCTCCACGGCATGCTTCCCACGTGCATACCCTCTACGCTGCAAGGGGACACGCCAGTCTACAGTCAGGCCTCTCCAACTCTGACACATTCTACCCGGACACCGTGTGCAGGGCTGCTGGCCTGGCCCTCAGACACCCCTCATGAGGCAGTGTGTGTGTGTGTGTGCGTGTGTGTGTGTGCGCTTGCATGAACATGTGCAGACTTATACACACGTACAACATGCGGGCGCTTATTCCTACTCACGCCTGCACGTGCATTTGTGTTTGTGTGCACTCCTGTGTACATGTACGTGCAGTCATGTGTGGCTGTACTTGTGCGTACATTCACATGTGTATGTTCGTGTGCAGGTTCAAGGCTTCTGCCTGTACTGTGTCCCGATACCAGCCAGGAGTAACATCTTTATCACCAGCAGTTAGACCTTCATCACAAACAGTATCTGACTGGTCTTTAAAATTAAGTGCTTGCTTAACTGAATTTCAGTCAAAACTTCAGCTGCATGGTTCTGATTTGTGTTGCCAAGGGCAGAGCACCCCCTCTGACTACGGAAAGTCCTGTAAACCCAGGTGCCTGAAAACCTGGGAGGCAATCTAAGAAACCAAGCCTTGTTTGGTGGCTGCCCTGTGTTACCTGAATTAAATTATTCCCTGAAAAGTAAACAATCTTTACGTTTAAAATCATAACTTACAAACTCAGCATTAAGTCATGTAACAGTGCTAAAATGTGTTTAGTTTAATTCTGGTACTTTGTCATAATCATAAACTCTTGACCTGGCCTCCACCCGGCCAGGCGTTCATTACTTATTATTCTGAGAAGCAGAGTAAGACCCATTTTAGGAAAATTCCAGGAACTGGTATTATTTTCGACAGTACAATCAATTTTAAACAACTAAAACTTACAGAAAGAGAATGGACGTGATTAAGAAGTGAGGGCCGAGAGGCAGATGCCCTTCAAGGGGTGGGAATGGTCTCAAGGAAGTCAGTCCTAATTCGAAGGAAGTTCAGTAGCTTCATAATGCTCCACTCATTTCCCTGAGTACTGATCTTTGGAACAATGTGAGTTTAGGGAGACTCGATTTTATATCCTCTCATAAACTCTAAAAAATAAAACCCTGGTATCCCACATCATTATATCAGCCTCTATAAGGTGGAGTTAACGATATCTGTGGAGTTAGAAGCACTTGCATCTTTAAAATCTCATCTGGTCTGTTGGGCATATAGGAGCTCACGGTGGGCGGGTGCCCCCTGCTGCTCGGGCCACATGACTGCCCAGATACCATGATGGTCCCACAGGGCCCCTGTGCTGGTCCCACCCACCTCAACCCCTTCTGCCTTCTGTTCCATCCCAAGAAATGTCTGAAAGCTTAGAGAGGTCACTGATTTGGATTGCAAATTTTAAAGATTCATAAGGCATATAACATGTCAAGCTGTACAAACCACGTAAGATGAAATACTCCAGAAAACAAGAAGGGTACTGATGTCTTGTGTCCATGCTGCCCGCGTGTTTGCCCTGCTGGGGTAAACTCCTGCCCAGTAGACGTCTGCAGGAACCCAGTGCACACAGGCCCAGCCACCTCCACTGTATGAGCTCTGGGTGGTCAGCCTTGTAACTGTCTTTGAGTGGAGAGCAGCCCCCTGCTCAGGAGGCAGGAAAAACCTGGCAATTCCTTCTTGATTTGACTTAGGTAGATGGGAAAAGTATCTTAAAAGCCACTTCTGCTGCCACTTATCACATTTCTCTGCTTAGGCTGACGACCACTGGGCCGGTGGTGCCAGGGCAGGAGATGGGCCGGGCTGTGAGGGCCAGCAGTGGGGCTAGTTGGGCCATGCCCTTGGCCCAGCTGAATCCCGAAGCTGAACATGGACCAGTATCTGCAGAGGCCTGTAGTTGAGAACCTACTAAATTGGCTGGGAATGATCCTCTTTTCTCAGCTGGCATCAACGCAACGAGATCTCCATGTTACACAGTAACTGCCCAGGCATCAGTATGATGAGTTTGCCACCTCCGTGGATCAAGTGCTGACTGGTGACAGGTCTCCTCTCCCCCTGCATGGAAGTCGGACCTCTTCTCTCTAGCAGCCTCCACGGCAGCTGGGCAGCCCCGCCAGCTCCAAGCTGGAATGGGGGCCTTGATTGTCTAAGTACAGGGAACTGTGGCTTTGGGCAAGGTATGTGGGAGCTGAGGAGAGGTCTTATTCCAGAGCCTGCACCAGGGAACTCCACCTCAATCCCTAAATCTGGCTGTTTTCTCACAATTAGAAGTGAACTCCTATACACTGTAAAGATATTACACATTATTTATTTTCACCTAAAGTGTTTTTGTGTGGTGCTCACCCCTGGCAGAGCACTGGGTGTGTCGCTACCTCCTTTTTGCAGGAGGCACACAGGTTGGGGTGGGGCTCCGCTCCAAGCACCTTAAGAGTCATTGGCATACCTCCCTGGCACCACAATTCCAGCACATGGGAGTTGAACTACCTTTTGCCCAAGACTCTGAGCCTGCTTGGCTCATAGCCAGCCCAGCAGACTGGATGGAAATGTATTTTGCTGTCACCTAGAACACATTTCATATTGTGCACATAAGTAAGTATGCACACACACGTATATCTTAAGGATTTAAAAGTATGACCTTCACATCAATTAAGGCTATTTAAAGGGTGTATTTTAAATGAAATGCTATAATATGCAAAATTACCAGATTACTGAATTAATCAACAGGAAAATAATCTTTGCCAGAAAAACTATGACTGTGATTTTCCAAAATAGGATTGGATTGTTCATATATACTAACCAAAAATAAGCTCAGCTTTGCAGTAGAAACCCCACCGCCAATTTCCAAAAAAAGAGATGTTTGGGACCTGGTGCACACACGGAAAGTTAGCTGCAGGAGGAGTTTGGATGGAGGCAGCCGCCCTGCAGGATGCGGCTGCTCTAACTCAACCCTTGTCTGACCAGATCCAACCGTCGGCCCAAACACGGTTGTGTCGACACCCTCTGTCTCCAACTTGATGAATATCGCCAATAACATAGCAATTAATTTAATAAAGGAACTAACCCATTTTAAATTGCAATAAATTTACCAAACATTTTCACTGTTTATGGAGAGCTTTACAGTAAGAAAGTATCAACAAAAGCAGGCACATCCGTGTACAAAGTGTTGCCGTTGGGTGCGTTTTCGCGTCTGCCGTTCTGCACTTTCCGTCCTCTCCGCGAGGGCTCTTCCTCCCGCGGAATCCCCCTCTTTCTGAGCTCTCACCCAGGACCGGACTTGCCAAAGAGAAGTGCGATGGGGGCGAGGCAACCCCAAAACATTTATTGTAAACTTTAAAATGGAATCCGGATACGAACAGACACAGAAAAGAAGAGAAACCTCCCAACACAGAAATGGTAATACTGGAGGGCCAGTCTCGGCGAGGAGCCCGCAGCGACGCGAGGCCAGTCCGCCCCCCCCCCCCGCCCCCCGCCCCGAGGCGCCGCGCCCGGCAGGCCGGGTCGCCCTCGCGGCGGCGGTCAGCGGGGGAGGGGGAGGGGGGGGCCGCGCGGGCTGCGGCGCGGTCCGTCCGGGGTGGGGGCGCGCCCTGGGGCTCAGCAGGCCCGGCTCGGCTCCCAGGGACGTCCGGCCTCGCAGGGCTGCCGGCAGCAGTAGGGGTAGGAGGCGTTGAGGTCGGGGTCCGAGGGCGCGTACCCCGGCAGCTCCACCGACGGGTGCCCCCCGCAGCGCACCTCCACACCCGCCTCGTCGAACGCCGGGAAGACGCCCACGTTGATGTAGGAGACGGCGTGGTGCGCAGCGAGGCCAGCGCAGTCCCCCGGGGCGGCGAGGTCCGACTCCTCCGGGCACAGGATGGAGGCCTCGCTCGGCCGCGGCTGCAGCCGCCGGCCCCGCCGGCCCCGCCGGCCCCGCCGCGCGCGGGAGGCTGGCGGCTGCGCGCGGAGCCCGGGGCCGCCGCGGGGCCGCGCCGGGGCCCGGCCGCCCCTCCGCCGGCCGCGCCGGCCGCGCCGCGCCTGCGACGAGCGGTAGTTCTTGACCAGCAGGAGGCTGAGCAGGCCGAGCAGGCACTCGAGCGCGTTGAAGACGGTGGACAGCACCAGGCCGCGCTGGTAGTCCTTCAGCTGCCGGCACTTGGCGGGCGTGGCGCTGTCCAGGGTGCTGCGGGCGCGCGGCGCGCCGGGGGCCGGGCCGGGGGCGGCGGCCGCGGGGCCGGGGGGCGCGGGGCCGGGGGCGGCCGCCGCCGCGCGGGCAGGCAGGCAGTAGTGGGAGTACTTGCGTTCCACCAGGGACACGGTGTCGCCGTCGATCACGGCGCCCGCGAAGGCGCTGAGGACCCCGAGCATGAAGACGAGGACGCCGAGCAGGAGCAGGTTCTGGCTGTTCACCGGCCCCGGGGGCCCGGCTGCGGCCCCCGGCTCTCCGGGCGCGGCCTCCGGAGCCCCCGCCGGGGCCGCGGGGACCCCAAGCCCCGGGCCCGGCCCCGGCCCCGCGAGGGGCGCGTCCCGGGGCCCGCAGCAGAGCAGGGCGGCGCCGAGCAGCGAGAGGCCGGCGGCCAGCAGCAGCCCCGAGTAGAAGGCGCCGGCGGCCGCCCCCAGGCGGAACGGCTCCCCGCGCAGCTCCGAGCCCAGCGAGAAGCACTTGAGGCCGACGGCGGCGGCGCTGAGCGCGCAGGCGAGCAGGAGGCAGGAGGAGAGCGCGGCGCAGGCCCCGCGGACGCTCCACTTCATCCTCCGCGCCCGAGCCGGCCCGCACCCCGCGCGCCCGCCGCCGCCCGCCGCCGCCCCCGCCGCCTGCGCCTCCTCCCGGCGCCGCGCGGCCGGACCGCCGGCCTCGTCCTCATCCTCCCGCGTCCGCCCGGGCCCGCGCCGCCGCCGCCGGGGTCCGCATCCTCCGCCTCCCGCCGCCGCCGCCGCCGCCGCCGCCGCCGCGGCCCCGCGCCGGGAACCGATGCGGCGCGGAGGACCGCAGGGCGCGCGCGCCCCCTCCCCAGCCCGCGCCGCCCCTCCCCGGACGCGGCACTCCCCCCCCCCCCCCCCCGCGGCCCGGTGCGCCCGGCCCAGGCGCCGCCTTCCCCCGCCCCCCCGCAGCCCCTAGGACCCCCCTCCGCCGCTCCGCCTCCCTCCCAGCCTCCCGGCCGCTGTGGGACCCCCCCCCCAGCCCCAGGTCCCTCTACGCCGGACTCCTCTGGGGGCCCGCCCCCCAGTGCCTCCCACCTCTCGCGCCCCTAAGGCTGCGCTTCCCCAGCGACCGGGATCCACGCCCACCGGCCTACCGGCGGCCTGGAAGCCTGAGGAAGTTGGCCTGGAGTGCAGGGAGAGGGGGAAGAGGGGAGCCCGGGGCTGCGGGGCCGGAGAGGGGGCCGGGAGCAGCCGGGGCGGGGGCCAGTCTGCAGGACCGAGGAGGGAGCAGGGCAGAGGAAGGGAGGGCGCCCGGGAGGGGAGGGGAGGGGAGGAGGGGGCCCAGGGAAGGGGTGAGCCCGGGCGCTGGTGGGGGCGGGGGGACGGGTGCCAGGAAAGGGTGGGCGAAGGAGATCAGGTGCTGGGGCGCCCCGGCGCACCCTGGGAGCCGCCGGCCGGTGTGCGCGGGGGGTGGCGGCGAGGTGGGTGGAGACGCCGCCCAGCGGGAGGTGAAGCCTTGGACCTCCGGGGCCGCGCAGGAATTCCGCCCGCGCTCGGGGCGTGTGAGTTAATCTCATCGGAAGGCGGTTGGGGGCCTTGAGGGCCACGGTTGGGGGGAGCGGCAGACCGCCCCCTTCTGACCAGGGACCCACGGCGGGTGAACGGAAGGCGTGGGGCGCGTGGGGCGAGGAAGGCGGCCTTCCCCCAGGCCGGGCCCTCCGCCCTCTTGCCGAAGGGAGGTCTGGGATGGGACGTCCCCGGAGGCCCGCGAGGTCCCCGGGGCCGAGGCCGGGCCTGCGCCCGCAGTTGCCGCCACACCGGCTCCGCCGCTGCAGCAGTGAGGCCCGGGGGCAGATGACTCACTCTGCCGGCTAATTGCGGCGTTAAATAACTTTGCGCTGCACCCAGAGGCAGGCGTGGCTGCAGCTGGGGAACGAGCTCGGGCGGCGGGAGACGCAGGGGCGCTTGCCCGCCGCCCACTCGGCGGGGTCCGGCCTGCGGAGGCGCCCCGGAGCTCGCAGCTCCCGCCCTGGCCGCGCAGGCCCGTCGGGTCCTGGCGAGCGGGACCCCGGAGGCCGCCTGCGTCTGGAGGGGGCGGCGGCCGCGGGCAGGGGCCCCTCGCCCACGGCCCACGGAAGCCGTCTGCCCAGCGACTGTGAGACGAAGCCCCTTCCTGCGGCTCCCTGGACGCTTGCGTGGGATTGACTCGAGCCGCGATCGCTTCGCGAAGCAGCGCGCCCCGCTGTATTTTTAGCAGAGTTTAGAACAGCAGCCGAACCGCGTTCCGTCCTGCCGCTCTGGCAGATGACTTGCCAGAAGAGTGGGAATAGTGAGCCTTCTTTCACATTTATGGGGTAGAGGTTTTAAAAGGACAGTGTGTAAATCAGCTTGTATAATAATCGCGGCACCCACGCGCGTGAGCGGAGTTGCCATGAGCTTACTTCCAATGATTATTCCGGTTTCCAGGGAGACGAGGTTTGCAGCCACCTCCGTGGAGAAGGATGGAGCAGCCTCTCCTTCCCCTTGTGCCGCCGCAGCCAGATTGATTAGGCTTCGGGGGCGGAAGTGAACTGCTGTGGGCTCTTCCTCCGCCCCCGCCCCCACCTCATCCTCTGATGGAGGCTGGAGTCCGCCCCTGCGGGGAGGGGGCCGGGGCCTGCCTGGCAGGGGCTGTGTGGCAGCTACCACTCAAGCCAGAGGCTTAGGATTTGTTTTGAAATCTAGCCTCGGGTCTCCTCCAGGCCCTCCCCGCCCCCCACATACACCCACCCCTACCCCACCATCAGCCCTTCACTAGGCGCTTCCACCCCCCTGACCACCTTCTTGCTCCTTAAACTCATCCTGCCTCTTCCTGCCACGGGGCCTTTGCATATGATGTCCATCTTTCTGTTGCATGTTCCCCTTGCCACAGCCTCACCTGGCTTCTGCCTTCTCGCTTCCTACACCTTAACTTCACCTCACTAGCTTTTGTTGGGTGCCTGCTGTCCTCCAAACACTGGACAGTGTTTGGGTTTTCTCATTCAGTCCTCGCAACAAACCCCGAGGCCCTGTTAGTCTCACAGAGGATTTCCATGAGGAAGTCAGTGACTTCTGGAGTCAGAGTTCACGCAGGCTCTGAGCACGGCCTCCCTACACTTTCACCTCTGTCCTCCCCACTGCCTCTCTGGCCCCCACTAACTCCCTGTCCCCCCCTTCATTACTCCCCTCCCTGCCTCCCCCTTCTTCCTGTGCCCCCTCCCTGCCCCCAACCCCTGGCAGAGGGTCCCCCAGCCCAGGTAGGATCTCCTGGTGACCTAAATGTCTGTCTTCCCCATCAGGATTCAGTCCTGCCTGGCTGTGTGGAATGAGAGAGTCCGTGAATGAGTGAGTGCGGGGTCTCCCGCCAGCCTTGGGTTGCTCTGTCCTGTGACAGAGTCTACATGTCTGTCTGGCCCTGCTCACTAGGACAGGCCAGGCCAGCAGGCAGAAGAGGCACCCGCCTGTGTGTTCAGGTGGGGAAACTCTAGGAGTCAGAAGGGAGGAGAGTGCTGGCAGCAGGAGGAAAGACAGACCTGAGGAGGGAGCTTGGAACTCCTGGACCTCCAGAAAGGTTGGGGGCAGAGAGCAGGTGACCTGTCCGGAAGGGTGCTGGCCGAGCCAGCTGGGAGTCCGTCCTGAGGATGGGGAGGCCCTAGAAGAGCAGGCTGCGGTGCGTGTTCTGGAAGGAACTCTGCCCGCTGAAGACTGGGTTGAGGAGTGAAGGCGTGCAGGGACGGGGGAGTGTTGGGAGAACTCATGAGGTTGGGGTAAGTTGCACGGACTCTTACCGTCAGATGGGACCCCGATATCCACCCGCACCCAATTCTTTCGACTTGAGTACCGACCCCCAAGTCACCTTGTTAATTGATATTAGAAGTGACTCATTCTGGCTTTGATATGCTGATTGTACTTTGTGAAGGAACTTACTAAAGGAACTTCTTTGTGGTTATGGGAGTAACACTGTGTTCCTGCAAGACTTGTTTTTCTTATTATTACCTCCCATTAAGTGATGAGGGGCTGTTGACCCCTGCTCACAAGAACTAACTTTGCCTGGGGCGCCTGGGTGGCTTAGTTGGTTAAGCGGCCGACTTTCGCTTAGGTCATGATCTCGCGGTTCGTGGGTTCGAGCCCCGCGTCGGGCTCTGTGCTGGCTGCCAGCTCAGAGCCTGGAGCCTGTTTCAGCCTGTGACTCCCTCTCTCTCTGACCCTCCCCTGCTCACGCTGTCTCTCTCTCTCTCTCCTAAAAATAAATAAAACATTAAAAAAAAAAAAATTTAAAAAAAAAGAACTAACTTTGCCTTTACTATGCTAATGCCACCTCTGGGCTGTTCCCCACCATTTGCATACCAATGTTCTGGAAAGTTTTTACTGATAAAAGGATTTACCATCAGAATGCCGCTTTGGTGCCTTCCCCCAAACACTAAGTCGTAAAATAAAGCTGAGTCTCAGAGGGCAGAGAAGCCTGGCTGGTGACCTGAAAGAATCTTGAGCCTCATCCCTCCCTCGCCGACAGGACACCGTCCATCCTTCAGGGTCCCCTGGACCCGGCCGGAGCTGGGCTCCGGCAGGGGAGTGTTTGGAGTGCAGGTGGAAGGGTCCTACCCCCATCATGGTGCTCATCACAGGTACTGCTATCTGGCACTCAGCGTATAGTCAGTCACCTGTCTTCCCTTCTGTCAGCAGGAAGAAGGGCAGCAGTCTGAGGTCCCCGTTATACAGAGGTGCCTTTTAGGGTAACCCCATACTCGTCCCTCTCTCACAGGAAGGGACTCTTCACCTGATATGGTTTCTGACACCTGTAACCAGGAGTGTGAATTGAAATGACCCGTGCATATTTTGAATATTCTTTTTTTTTTTTTTGTTTATTTTTGAGAGAGAGCACGTGGGGGAAGGACAGAGGGGGGGGGGTGGAGACAGAGGATCCAAAGCCAGCTCTGTGCTGTCAGCACAGAGCCCTATGTGGGGCTTGGGGCTCAAGAACCATGAGATCATGACCTGAGCTGAAGTCAGACGATTGACCGAGTGAGCACTCAGGCGCCCCTGACCCATGCACATTTCAAAAGCTGATTCTGTTGCTTTCTGGTGGAACCCTTGTCTCAACCCTTGCCAGACTCACCCGTGAAGCCCCTCCCCTCCCAGCCCCACAGCATAGCCAGAGGGGCCCTCTGGAGGGAGCAGCCATGGTCCACAGTGGGGTGATTTGGGGGGCTCAGCGGTTGGGCAGGGGGCCCACTCTATAAAGAAGCACTACCCCAACGAGCGTTGACTTTAGACAGGTTGTTGGGGAAGGAAGAGTGATTTTAATCGTGACAGAGCCCACCATGTGCTACATACTTTCACAGAATGGTGTAGCAGCTCCGTGTGGGACACATCACTGTCTGATTCTAAAGACCGGGAACCAGAGCCCAGAGATGAGGACTCAAACTGCCATGTGTGCTTTCCTGGTTACAACAGTAATCATGTAGCAAGTGAGGAATATTTTCTCTATCACCTTTAACTTTCATTCTAATATTCATGTATTTATTAGCATTTGAAATCCAGTCTCCTAGAGTATTGACTTCAGTTAATTTGGCTGATTCTAATTACTTTTTTCTAATTTGTTTA